TGTAATGAAAGAAGGAGATCATGAAAGATAAGATGRTTTTTGAAGGAAATTTTAAATGTAAACACATGAAGGAAGAGGAAAACTTAAGTTTTCCTTAAGTTGTTCAAAGGTTTATCTACAAGCCATTGGATAATGCTAGATTAATTTATCTGTCTTGAATATTGTCATTTTAAGAATGACATTTCTTAGGGGTTAGACTCATATCCTGACTGAATTATATATCTGTCTATACCATTATTTGATGTATGGAAATGTAGCTGAATGTAACCCAAACACATTAGATCCATAATTACCCTTACTTTTTCACGCTGAATAATGTCCATATATAATTTCTGTTTCACACAGAATAACACAACGCAAGAAATATATCTGACCCGCCTCCCTTATTTTTTCAGTGAATTAAGAGGTCTGATGGTTAATATTTTCAGTGAATTAAGAGGTCTGATGGTTAATAGCTGTGAAACAGAGCCAGTTAATTCCTCGCCTTCCCCGCCTACACAGAATGAAACACTGACATTTGATTTCTTGAAAGTCTGTCCTTTCCCTAACCCTGCTGCTGTCTGGTTTGCTCCATTTCCCAGACTGCAGCCTTGTGGGCTGCTGTAATGTCTGTCAGCATAAGTCACGCTGACAGACCAAGGCTCTGATAGCTAACGTTAATAACAGAAATTGAAGAGAAACACGAGAAACCCAGAAAAATTGTACAGCTCCCATTGCCTGCGTGGAGGGGAACCACTAATCTCAAGGCTGCCATTTCCAAATGCATTTTTTAGATTAGCTGTTTAGCTCTTTTTTCAGGTTTTTTGTGGTAGTTTCAACTAAGATGCTGGGTGTATTTTTAAATGAAAATAAAATATATGGTTGAACATTGCACACATAGTCCAAGCTGGCATGTGCAAGCCAGAGTGATGATGTTCCTGTTTTCCACCTTTTGTAATTCCCGCTGTTCCAGGCTAGATTTGTCTGAGGATTTGTGAATGACTTGTAAGATCTAATCCATCACTTGGGCTAATATGGGCAGAGGATATTTATTTTCTCACTTGTGAAAATACAGTGAGTCCAATGATATGGCAGAATTTAAAAATCAAGTTTTAAGCCTGTTTTAAGCTCAGAGGAATGATTTATTTAGGCTGGAAATAACAGCTGAGCACTGACAAGAGCAGGGCGATGTTAATTATATCAATTTTTATTAACAGCTTCAAGGTGAGGGATGCGTGTCTCCTTGTCTGTCTGTGAATCCAGGGTGTGCTTTCCACTGAAAAAGGCACTGGGATTAAACAGTCCTGTCCATTTAGAGGCCTCTGAACAGAAGCTGCTGCTGCACTTGGTGTTCCCACCCTGGCATTCTGGAGGGCTCCAAGCACAGCGGGCACATCCACTCCTGAGATCAAGGTCAGGCTGTCTGCGTGCTGAGCCACAGGGAGAATTAACTCGCCCACAGATGTGGCAGCAAGGATGATTTATCTCTGTTCAGTTTAACTCCACATCTGGGCGTTCGAATAATTAATTAATTGCAACTCAGACAATCCTGGTTTAACTTAAATAGAAGTAAACGGTTCGGTCTATTTTAATTTTTAATGCTTCCAGTGTTAGATTTTGTAGGCTGAAGTGGTGGCATAGCCTAAGGTGGTGTTTTTGCAGAACCTGATGTTGAAAACAGAGTGAATATACAGTTTTGGAAAAGTTCACCATTGGCAGAATGGTTTTGTTCAAGTTGAAAAGCATTTTACTTATTGATTTCAATAGTAAATTTATATTTACTATTGATTTCAATGGAAAATGTTAGGCCCATGGTAGGAATTCTTCAAAATCTACTTCTGATTGTAATTAGAAATATTTCTAAAAGCTTATCCACCAATTTACTATTTAGAGTAGCATGTCATACTGAGACTTCCACATTTTGAAAGTTCCCATTTATTCATCTCGAGAGATCTAGACAAAAGGCACAAACATTACCTCTTCAATATTTTTCTTAAATAAAAATGAGAAGATTTGGACCTCAGACTACACTGATATTCATGGCTCATGTGCACCTTCACTAAAACTTTTCAGAAACACTGATGTGAAAGTAAGTGTTGGGCTTTCAATGGCAATGGAACTTTAAAAAGATAAAGTCTGTTTTACAAACTATCAGATGTAGACTAAGATATCCTCAAGTCAAGCCAGCCTTCTCTAAGAATTTCTGCATTTCTGATGCTGAAAGTACTGGCAGTGAAATGTTGGCCATCGGTCTGCAGAGCAACAAGTAATTTTTGACATGATTTGGGATGGATTTTACTTGACAGTAGGATCCTGGGGCCATCTGATATTGTCTATTATCACAAACAAGGATGTTTGTTTGTGGGAATAATCTCTTTTCTCACACTTTTCTTATTACTATTGTTACTGCTCATTTTCTTATCTCATTGCAGTTTCCATTAAATTGTTCTCACCTCAACCTGTGTTTTTTGTCTTTTGTGCCTCCAGTTGGAGGGAGAGGGAGCAGCTCATGGTTTGGAAATCCTGGATRAGGGCACTGAGTTATGGAGTTCCATTCCTAAACCTCCTGTCATGGTTTAACCCCAGCCCAGCCCCAGGGAGCCACTCCTCACTCCTCTCCAGAGGGGCTGGGGAGAGATTGGGAAGGGTAAAAAGTAAAAAAATCCATGGGTTGAGGTAAGACAGTTTAATAAGAAAAGCAAAAGCCGTGCACACAAGTGAAGCAAAAGGAGAATTTCCCTGCTTCTCATGGGCAGACAGATGAATAAATATTATTTAATGTGATTTGGCCATATAATGCACATATGGCTCAGGTGGATTTATAGTTACATGGGAAAAATAATGAGGGGGAGAAAAGAACATTGAATTTAAAGTGTAGTAAAGTTGGCATGTGGACCCTTGAGTTTTTTATTCTTTTTAAGACACATAACAGAAGTGCAATAAAATTATTTTTATTATTCAAAAATACACAAGAGACAATACAGATCTATCTTGAAAACATTTATACATCATTCTTTTACTACAAGCTACTCCGTTTTGAATTTTAATTCAAAATTCTCTCAATTAAAATGAAATAATTGCTGATACTAATAACATGCTTAGTTTTAACTGAAATCAGCTCATGTTTAAAACTGAAATGAGTGAGACCCAATGTGATTTAGCTGTTACTTTACCACTTTTAAAGCTTCACTAGACCAAAGAAAATGTCCATGCATGTAAATCTTATAAATAAAATCAAGAGAATGAGTATCTTTTATAAAAAAAGTTAAAACCACAATAAGTTAACATATGTATTATARGAGATTCAGAGTAACAGGCAAATTYTCTTTAAATAAGCATGTCTGCAAGGGTCTCAAAATCAGACATGATAGATGACTACTCCTGCATTCCCCTGCCTGGTKCTGAATTAGCTTTGTCTGTCATTCCTAGCAGGTTCCACATGTTCCTGAGGAGCTGGAGTGGTCAGTAACCCACAGACCCCACCCCTGTCCCTCCTTCCCCACTCCCTGACAGTTCATTTCATGTCTGTGCCTTTCAGAAGATTTGTGAGTGCCTGCTCTGAATCTTTCCTCAGTTGTTCTGTTCTCTCTGGACACAGAGAACTGTCTGCTCTTTTCTGTGTAACAGTCTTCAGGTTCTGCTAATGTTCCCCCTAAGTGTTCCCTCCCCTAAACAAAACAACTCCATTTAATTCAATCTTCTTCTCCTAAGATGACTTTTTTAGGCTTCTCTCCTTCCTTGTTACTCTCCTGTGGGTTTTCTCCAGTTTTTCAATGCTCTGAAGCTCTGTGTTCCAAGCTGGAAATAACCACTCGTGCAGAGCTGAGTGGTGGAGGTAGGTTGTGTCTTGTAGGCTCTGCTCCTTGCATTCCCACTTTTCTGCAGCACTGGGATGCTGGATGCTCTTTCTTTGCTTGTAAACCTCCGAGTCTGCAGTGCCAGGCTGCTGCTGAAACAGTTGTTTCAGGGGATTTTTCTGATGTGTTTTCTTTTCCCCCATCTGATTTCATTCTGCAGGCTTCTTGTAATTTTCTCAGAAATGTGAGGTAATTCCCCATTCTGATTCAGTCAGTCCTCCAGCTTGCTTCCAGACCACCCCAGCATCATATTGGCATTTGCAGAATTAGGTTGCTGCAGAGTCCTGTGAACTTCCATTCTCTGAAGGGATTGTTGTGAAATGCTTTCAAGGCACATTTATTGCACCATGTTTACTCTACTGGGGTCAGGTGCCTCTAGATTCATCCCTAAATCATTTGTGAGACTCCCGTGCTAAATAATGCTAAACATTTCTCATTTTTCAGGTGAAAACAGAGAGATGACGATTCTTTTTTCAAGTTAGCCAGGCGTGAACTAGAGCTCATGTTACTTGTGTTATCGTGACAGTCAGGCTGAGCTAACAAGCCTTACTGAGAAAGTACAAGAATTCAGCTGACATTCAACATTTGAACATAGATTTTTGGCTCTTGAATATACATGCAGTTATTATTTGCAGAGCATAATGATTGTAATGAAATATTTTGCAAAGAAAGCCAGTCAGGATCTCAGCTGGGAGAGGTTTACAATCCAGCTAATAGGAAGTTAGGGCACAGGTTTTGGTTGTAACAAAACCAGAAACAAGGCTTTTTAAAATAAGTGCATTCTTAGGAGAGATGGAAAGCCAGGGATAATAAAGACTTGAAAATTGGGAAGTTTTTGAAAGCACAGAATTGCACAGAATAATCTGTGTGAGCCAGAAATACAGCAGTATAAATAATGAAATTGTGATAAAGAGGAAGAGGAGGAAAAGGCAAATGCAATCAAAAGCAGCACTTTATAGACCGATGGAAATGATTTTAAGGCAACTGATAGGTTAAGTAAGGAAGGCCTGTGGAGGAGTCCAGTCAGTAGCTCTTAATTTTGGCCTTAAAAATCTCTGTTTCAGTTTTGGCAGTTTCTAAATAGCCTGGCCTGTTACCTTCCACACCTGAACAGTACCTTCACTTAGCAGGGAACATTTAAAGCCAAAGTGCCATCAGTGCCCTTCACTGGTTGCTCCCATTGTGGCTGAAGGAGCAGTAGGATGGCCCCAGTCCCCTGACGGTGCAGTCAGTGGTGTCAGTGTCACACGAGTCACAGTGACACTCTGTCGCCACCGGGTAGGAATAGAAGGATTCGGGGTGGTCACCACAGCCAGGGATCTTCACCGTTTCGTACACCACCTCCTTGAAGGTGCAGGTTTGCTGGGCAGATGATACCGGTGGGTATTTGTACACTGGGTCCTGAAATTACAGAGAGGAAATAGCTGGTTTGAAATTTCTTATGGGGTAGAACGCAAAATTTTATATGAAATGTGAAAATATCGCTGAGATCCAAAGCATCTTTTAATTTCACAAATTTGTGTCGTGCCATCACCAGACAATCTTTCAGGTCAACTGCTTGATTATTTTAAAAAATTATTTAAAAGAGGAGTCTGCATAGTAATGGCTGCTTTATTGGATCTGCTTGCAACCACAAATTGAGCACAGAGATCCAGACTGCAATACTTCCACCTCTAGTTATACAATATAAACATAACACATGCTGAATTTTACTACATTTCACCCTTTAGACTGGCTGTGTACCTACTCTTGTGTCAGACAACACAGCAATTATTCCACCTACCCTCCCACAAGGCTCATCCTGTCTGTGTGCCCGCTAGAACTGCACAAATTTTCATGCACAATTTGAAATATTTAATTCTGGTGCCTGAAATGAAGAGTCTCACCCTGGTGAAGCAGTAACCTGCGCACCAAGTGGCGTTCACTGTGATGCAGAATTCGCATTCTTCTCTTTCCACCGCTATGGTGATGTTGGTGAGCTGACAGCTGCTGCAGCAAATTGCTTTCCAGCAAAGGAGCAGCACACAACAATTAACTGTCTTCATCCTGTCTGTAAAGAAAAAAAAAATATATCTCTACTGGAGGAACATGGATAGTTATTTTCAACAGGAAATTGTTATGGAAACAGGGAGAAATTGAATCTCTGCGTTATCCTCAAGTGGTTCTTTAACAGCAAGTGCTCAGATTCCTCAGTGAGAACAGAGACATTAAAAACAGATCTTCCTTATGTTTGCTGTTAAAGGAGTTTGATTTTCCTAAGCAACTGAAATGGCATATCAGCAGTCTTTCCAGAACAATAAGAGCAGAACACTACACCACTTCCAATGAAATATTTTTATCTAAATTTCTGTAGAGAGAATGTGTCCTGTTTGTAAGGACAAAGAAAAAGAAGCGAGAGAGAGAGAAAGAGCAAAGGATAACGTATTTTTCAGAAGCAATTACTTGCTAGAAGCACTTGCAATTTGGAAAAAAAAAAATATTTCTACATCAGGATCTGATGAGAACTTACCTGTATTCTACTTGCCTTCCTAGAAGGAGTAGCTGTAGTGAGAAGAAAGCCCTCTGCTTTCCTTTTATACTGCACCGTGTGTAATTTATACCTTGAGGATTTGCAGTGTATTAATGCAGCAGGCATTAGTTTGGGACTTGGTGAAAGCGGATTAATGCTCAGCCAGACAGTGAGATTAAGCCTTGTTGAGAGGAAAAAAGAAAAGCCAAACACACTGGGGAAGGGATGGTGAAGGTTACTGTCACGGTGTCTCTTTGCATGTTTCACTGCGTTTGATTCAGAGGCATTTGGAAATAGCTGAGCCATTTCACAGTTTGAAAAAAAAAAAGGTTGAGAAGCCTATTTTTGGCAAAGTTCAGGTGTTTTAACTGTTTTGTGTCAGCCCTCAAAATTATAGGCTTGAGATACAAGTGGAGGACCCTCGACACTGGAGATACTGCTTTCAGTTTCTTAGCTAATGACCAAGTTCTTGGCTTTTCCAGGATATCAATTTTAATTGGTTTTCCCTGGGTAGGTCTTACCCAGTGAGCTGCATATCTATTTATTTATTTTTCTGTTAAAACTAGTAATGTCGAGAAAATTCCCACATAGTAATGTGAATTTTGTTAAACCATTAAACCATGAAGAATTCCTCTTTGCCATTCTACCCCTCCTCTTTGCCATTCAAACCCCTCTATGACTTTTCTATCCCAGCAGATGCAGTCCTGGTTCCTGTCTGTCACAGGGTCACTTTCTCTTCTGTGAGGGATGTTTGTGTTGTGAAAGGGACTCTTAGAGGTCATCACGAAGCTCCAGATCTGTGGTTCTGTGTCAGTGATCTCAGATAAAATATTGCCATGTTCCAGGGAAAATGCAAGTGTTTTAAACTTACAGCGATGCAAACTCAACTGGAATGTTGAAGGGTGAAAATTCCCTATTTTCCATGGCAGTAAAAGTCCATGGATGGACTTTTCCTCCATTCACAAGTCGCTGCTTCACCAGAATAACGGCAGAGAAGGAACTCTGCAGAGCGTCACATCCCAGTTGTGGGGAAAATGACTCACAGCAGCTCTGCATTCACCATCACCCGCCCAGAACAGCCAGACTCGCTTTGTTATGACTGTCCCACCATGGTCAGTCTGACTTTTACAGAAATCCATCCCTGAAATAAAACTAGACAAGGACATACGGTCAAAAGCATTTTATCGCCAAGAGGAATCCTCGCTGGCCTATTAGTTTCCTGCAGAAGGGATACTTTTCAAAGTGGCTTTTACAAATGAGCCCTTTAAGTGTGTCGTGCCTTCCTGTGGTCCTGCAGACCCGCCATCTGTTCCAGTTTCCACGCAGTCTGCAGTGCCTTCATTTGATAATCAAATTCGAAGGTAGAAAATGAGCTGCAAATTTGCCCTGGACGTCTCCCGTAATGAAAACTTTGTTTGAAGGAGAAGACAGTTTTGTTAAATCTGTGAAGAAGTCAAAAAAATTAGACATCTTCCTCTGAACTAATACAAACTCTGTGATTGTTTGATAATGGTCTTTGGTGCCATTTAGTGTCAATGTTCTGTCTTCTCAGAGTAGGTTCTCAGTTGCTGTAAATCACTAATTCCAGAGATGTCAGACAAAAGCTGATTACAATTTGTTATATCCCTACTGAGGATCTGGTCTTTCCTAAGTACTAATTGAAGCAAATTAAATAAAACAAAATACATTTTGTTTGCAGAGGACAGTAGAGAAAATATCCATCTCTCAGCTGCAATGTTTCATGGTTTGAAGAAGTCACACTCACCCACTTAAAACATAATTTCACGAGCAGACAAGTGCAAGTTTAGCCCCTGCAATGCTGTTTTTTCCTTCCCCTGGTTCCTTGCTCTGGCCCACTGAGCCTCCTCACTTGTTGAAACACAAATGAGGGAAATAATTCTGTTAAAAGGAAAAGCTGTGTTTTTACAGCATTGTTGTTAATCCATAATATTTGTTCCACAATGACACAAACAGGGGTAGCAATGTGACGGAATTGATTGTGGAGTTTGAAGGAGGGGTGAGATTAACAGTGGTAAATATATTTTTCTTCTGCTCGTGCTCTGGTGATTGATTTATTTGTTTGTTTTGGGGGGTTTGTGTGGGGTATTTTTTTTTGGTTTATTTGCTTTTTCCTTGCAAAAGCACCTGATATAGAACTGAAAGCTTTTATGTTCCTTGTATCTTCCAAACAAATGGGATTTCTTTCTTCAGGTGGGGTGGTGCTGAGACTAATGATTCTGTTGCTACAAGACCTGAGTCTATCTTGCTCAAAAGAAGGTAATTTAGATCGAACTTCAGTATCTATCAAAGTTCCCTTGGAAAACTTGGTTTTACTAGTGCAACTTCTTCACCATGAGTAATAAATCTGACTCTGACCTGATAGAAGATGTGCTGGATCTTCTAGTAGGAAAAAAAAACCCAAACCATGTCTGGTATAAAATATCTGTTGAGTGGTTGGCCACTGCTGGTCAATATAATTTTTACTGGTATTGTTTTAAGTTGCCAGCACTAATGAAGCAGAACCATGAAGTAGGTCGGGCCTGCTGAGCACATAGATAGCTGAAACTAATTAGTGTCAGCTCAAGACTTAATCATTAATGAAGAATTTGTTGGTGCACTCATAGGAGAGCAGAATAGTTGATCCTCAGGAGGGTAAAGAAAATGCTAGAAAGGATTGACTGTGTATTTAGTAGCATAATCAATCCTTTCCAGTTTTAGAAATCTTTTGAGATAGAAGTTTCCATTACTTGGAGCTGAGGTTATGTATCCCATATTTTCAAATACCTAGACAAGCTGTTAGTTTTTCTAAGTCTGGTGGGAATTCTGTCAACAGCAGCAGAAACTGAAGATTCTGAAAAGTGTTTAAGAAACACAGAAAAGTGCAAACAACAATACAAATGCTTGTGCTGTCATTCAGTTCTCTTTCTTGTGGTTTTTGTCTCGCATGACATAAAATAATCCATAAAATAATCCATAAAATAATCCATAAAATAATCATGTGGCTGATTGTTATGCCACATTTCTAAATATATAAACCAGCTGCATTATTTTGTGCTTTTTAGTGATGATATTCTCATAACCTTTATCTTTGTTTTCTCTTGAAAAACCACAGTGTGWTCTTGAYTCYTTATAATTTGGTAACTCCATTGGTATCTGTTAGGAAATGCATGTTTARATTCTYCTCAAGACTAAACCAAAKATAAAAATTATWTCTTTGCTRAAAATGCCCTCYTCTTATTTCYTTCTTTGCTGTTCTKTCATTTTTMCTTATCACTTAAGTTTCTGAATATTTTAATTTTCCAATGGAAAGTAATTTTTTACCTAGGAGAGTCTCTAGCAGTTTTGATTCYTTCTCTGCCCTGGAGTATTACTATTCTAGTTTAAGTTTGCTGAGTATTTCTGAGTGTTTTTCAACAGGAAAACATCTTAATGGATTTAAAATAGATTAATCATATTAGAAAAGAAGTGACAAAGCAAGGGAAAGACCTGATGGATAATCTATGAAGTTATACAGGATCAGCTGAGGTTTCCTTTTTGTTATGTGAGCAGTTCTTGGGTCTCCAGGGGATTCTCATTATGCTGTTGGTAATAGCAGAAAAAGAATTAAAAAGAAAACCAAATAAACATGTGTAAATATTCACTTGAAAAGTCAAATCTAATTTGAGTGTATTTGAGTGTTTTGGTGCTGCAAATGCTTCCTAAAAGTACGTTCTTGAGAGATTCTTATCTTCATTGACACAATTTGCTGAATGGAAAACTCAACAATTTCTGAGCTGGGCGAACTTCTGCTTTTCTCTCTTGCTGATGTTTACCCCAAATGTTCACAGATGCTATCAATAACAATGTTTTTTTATTAGAAAAATTATATTAATAATAATTCAAGGCCCAAATATTATAGAACGACTGGGGTCCAAAGGAGAAAGGCTGCCATTGAGGTTTGTGTGGGGAATGTTTGCATTTATTTTCTGAGTAGGTATTTTTCACTGATCCGCCACATTCATATTTTTTAAAACCTAAAGTAATAATTAAAAAAAATAAAGAAAAAGACAATAGAAATATTAAATAGAAATAGAAAAGACTTTTTAAAAGACAATGTTTCAGGCACTTTAATATTTCATGAGAATTTCTGTTATGTTTTATACATGAAGAAGCTGGGCAACCATTCCTCCATGAAGCATTTTAGGAAGAAATTCAGCAAAAAATTCACATTTCTTCTGAAACAGCAAATTTGGCAGGGCTGAGCCTTCCTCATCCACAAAAAGCAGCAGCTGCTAATTGTTTTCAAACTGCAGCTCTGATCTGCAGCATAAGGCTGGTCTGACTCACGCTGGCAGTCTGCTCTGATAGCACAACGAAGCTGATGCACACGTGGAGAATGGACAAAAAGCCCATTTTATTTGGGTTGCTAAATAAAGTCCCAGGCTGGAGATGTCTGACCCATATTCTTCTTGCCAGTGCAGTGATTTTAGGTCAAATTGTTTAAGAAAAAGAGGTTGAAAGGAATGCATGCAGTCATAGCCAACTTCAGCTCCAGTT